GCTGACATTTGTGGTTTTTATAAATTGCCTGAACAATTCTTGGATGCCTTACCATAAAATCTTTCACAGACATTTATGTCCCCCACAGGATGAACAGTAACATGGCAACAATGGGCATACGCACACATTTCATACAGTGACCTAGTGTGTCCCATGCATTCATTTGTTTAGTCCTATTTCATTGTAGAGCCACATGCAGCTGATTTTTTTCAGGCTATCTCTCTGTCTGTTCATCAGACCACAAATGAGATGTGTTTAGCTAGCTAGCCACGCCACGGCCCTTCTGCTTCACACGTGCGGCTGTGGACTGCTTCCCTGGGAGGAGAGCAGGCAGCAACTGGGACATGGACTTTCGGTTGGTGGCTGTGGCAGCTCAAATTCAGTCAGCGCAACCCCCCCCCCAGTACTAGGTGTCACAGTGGGCTAGTGGCCAGCAGCAGCACTGGGTCTAACCTGTGTTAAGGCAGCAACATAAAGTTTGCTGATATAGTAGGGAGTTGGGGCTGTCTGGGTACCCGTTACTGGGATTTGTGCTGGCTGGATTTGGGTAGTTGAGGCCACTGACTTTGGGTCTGTCTCTGGAGATGCTGAGGTGGTCTGTAGCAATGGGCAGTGAGGCAGAGGACACACTGTGATCCGAGGCGCTAGCTAACATTAGCTACATAAACATGAACTTGAATCTGTAGCCATGAGCCTTTTCTCTACAGTTAGCAGAAGTCTAAACAATTAGCAACATTTTCTGTCCATACCTGAAACACTTTGTTGATGCTGACACATGTTTTTTTGTTCATTGTCAGACTTTTGATAAGCCAGAATATCAACTTCTCTGCAGAGTTCTCCACCACTGAATCAGGCCTTCACTAAAAGGACGTGCACTCGCATCTGCATTTATAGGACAACAACTAAGGAACGCCCTCTTTAGAGCCAATATAGCAAATCTACTGACACATGGGTTACAAAAAAATGATAACTATGCCCTAGTAACCTGACATTATCCATCTTCTGCAATCTTTCCTGTCAAAACAAAGAGGTGCCGTGAACATTAGATGCAATACCTACCCAGTTTCTGTTAAGGGTCTCAGCACACCAACACACACACACTCATGCAACTCCACACTATATACCCATCATACATACACAAATAAGCACATGGTCTTCAGTCATCACTCACTCTCCAGCTGGAGGTCATCTCAGGGCTCAGAGCTACGTGGAAAAAGTTGAACTTGTGGAGACAGACAGTCACCAGCTGATGGTGTGTGGAGCTGCCTGCATGTTCTGCTGATAAACTGTGTCATGAAAACATATTAGACCTTTCAGCTGTAATATCTGGGCCTCTACATGTCTGCTGGTATCAGTGTATGAATATGTGCTGATGCTTTGTGTGTAGTATTGTAACTCTATTCACTTTTCATCCAAAAAATGTCAATGCATTTTGCATAAAAGATTCAGTTTCACAAGTATAATGAATACATTCAAATTACACTGAGAAAAAAACAAACATTTGGTATGAAAATGCATATCATGCACTGGCACAGATCTCCATCATCTAATGTAAAACAGTTCTAAAGGTTATCGTCTTCTGTCTCCTCATCATGTGTTTTCTGCTAACCTTGTCAGTTTCAATAAATCCATCATACATCGCTGCACTCTCTGTATGTCTTGTGGCTTTCTCTGCCTTTCCCACTCATTATTTTCTGACTTTTACCAGCCGCTAAAAGCCACAATACCCCCCCTTTCTTTTCCCTCTCCAACTTTATCTTCCATTCTCTAACTTCCTCCAACTCCCTTACTCCCTGCAGAGTATCCCCAATGTCTTCCCACTCGTGTGTCTCGACGTTATTTTCTTGCCAGCAGCTTTAAAATTTTACATCCACTCTTTTTTTAAACTATTCCCCTCATCGCTGTCTTTAGAGGATTTTGCATAATAACATTTAAAACGCTTCAATGTCGGTTGGCCAGCTTTGATTTGGCCGCTGTAAAGATCCTATTAGGGAGTATATACACAGAGACAACATGACAAAATGTTAAACTGTTGAAAGTGCTCTCCCCTCACTATTAAAGTTTCTTGTGCGCTGGTAATGAGGGTGATCCAGGGTGAGGCTGTTTGAATGTGTGTGTATAGCCTGACTGTAGAGGATGCAGGTGTGTGTGGAAGCTTATGGGTTTGAGAAATGGAGATTTCTAATAAAAACAGATCTTTTGTGTGTGTGTGTGTGTGTGTGTGTGTGTCTGCAAAGCCCTGGTGATGGACAAGGTGTCACTGGTATAGGAGGCCTCTCTGCTTCTCTCACTCAGTACCCTTGCTGAGTGGTGAGTGACTGAGCCTACTTTCTCACCATGTGTGTATGTGCAGGTTAGTGTGTGTGTTGGACTGAGTGAAAAAGAGGGAGAGGGAGGAATAACGAGCATGACAGACGAGTGATGAGAGGTAGACTGAAAGACGATTGAGCTGAAAGACTTCTCCACCGAGAGTTTGGCATACCGAAGACGTCTTCTCACACACATACTTCTCTCCTCATCTCGTTACCTTAAAAGAGAGAGAGGGAGAAGGAGAGGTGATACAGAAGGGAAGTCATGACGGAAAGGTAGGTTAGGGAGATATAATAGGTGTTTGTGTGAGAAAGATTTCAAATATGTGGGAGTTTGACAGGCTAAGAAGCAATGAGCTTGCTGCTGTTTCTTTACCAGTGTATGTATGTATGTATGTATGTGTGGGTGTGGGTGAGTGTGTGAGACACCCCAGGTTTAGCTGAACTTGAATTCAACCTTGTCCCTACCACTCCAGCAGAGTCATTGCATCAACCTTTTGACTTTGAAGCTGCTGCCAGATCAGAGAGGAGAGCCAGGTGCAGACTGGTGTGTGCAGACAGACTCCTGCTCTCCCACTGATCCATGTTCCCTTATATGGAAGTGTGTATCGTGTGTGTGTGTGTGTGTGTGTGTGTGTGTGTGTGTGTGTGTGTGTGTGCTCTCATAAAGCCATATATCTCATAAAATTATCAGTAGAGGTTTTCATACTGTTTGGCATCACTGGATTCAAATACAGTTCAATCAGGACAGACAGGTGAATAAATTAAAGATAATATTTAATACAGAATTTGAGTGTCACAGATTAACAGATGATTTGTGCTGATTAAGGTTTAAAAGAAGTCTTTGGCTCTTGGACACCAGAGGGAGATATTTTGTGATTGAGGGACATCTGAGTGGCAGCAAGATAAATCCACCCATGGAGTCCAGACACTGGTGGTGGCTGATGACTCTGAGGCTGATGGCTGCTGAGGCAGATGAGGCTGATGAATCCATAAAGACTAGGTGGTGATGGGGAGGTGGAGGTGCACAAGACAGCAGCAAGAAAGAACCATATCTAAATGAGGAGCAGTAAGATGATAGGCTGAAAGAGAAGGTGTGTCCCTGTTCTATTGGTTGATTGTGAATCAGCTGATGACTCAATTGACAGACCCAGACAGTGACACCTGGAGATAGTCAGTGAGCATAAGTGCAAGGTGTAAATGGCAGGATGAGAAAGAAACTTCCAGCCTAAGCATGAAAGGTGTTGTCTTCCTGACTGAACTTTAGCTAGAGCTTCATTTGACAAAAGACTTTGGCGTTTACGTTTTACAGGGAGATTTTGTAATCGAGGGATGTCTGCCCTGAGCAGCAGCAAGATAAATCCTCCAAGGAATCCATACACTAGTGGTGGTGGTAGCTGGTGACTCTGCTGAGACTAAAAGGCTGATGAAGCTGATGAATCTGCGAAGACTGTGATGGAGAGGTGGAGGGTGTGCACAACTGCAGCATGAACATACTAAAGTCAGAAAAAGAATGATAAAAACAGCAGATAGATAGTAGCCTAAGAGTGAAGGCATGGCACTCTGCTCTTGGTTAAATGCCATCAGCTGAGAGAATTGACAGCCCCAGTCAATGACAGCAAGAAACTCTGAATAAGCATGCATGCCAGGAGTGAATGGCAGATGATATGAGAAATTAAATTACAGGCTTAAGCATGCAGAAGTATAGTCTGACTGTACTTTTACTAGAGCACCATTAGCCTGATATGACATATCGGCCTTGAGAATGAATTATTGCCTGTTTTTGCTACATTCATCATCAGATTAATAAATGTTCTACATTTCCTGTTCTTGTTTGTATTGTAGGACTTTTCTTGGAACATCTTTTAATACGCAGGGATGATGTGTTGACAGCAGCAACAGGAAGAGGGTTTGGAGACAAATGCTGTAGAGCGGAACAGAAGGCGATATTACAAGATGTGGATTCCCACTGGAGATGTGCTTTTTTTTGTGGTTCTCAGTTTAACATGTCATTTTCAATACAACAAAAGTGTGAACTGAGTGCCGTCAGATTAATGTGAAGGCAGCAGCAGCACAAAGGAGCCAATTTTAAGGCTTGAGAAGATTGATCTTCACATATCAGATCAGTCTATAAAAACTATATATTTCCCCTTGTGGTGTGACAGGGGCAAGAGTTTTGAAAAATCCTCTTACAGTTTCCTCATGTACTTCCAGTGTTCATTCATGGATGAGTGAATGTCCAGAACAATGCTTTACAGCATGTGAGGTATAAAATGAGAGATCCAACTTAATGTCCTGCCGTTCAGTGTTTGTGCATTGTCAGATATTGTGAAACACGCAGCAGAGTTCACTATTAAATAACATTAAATGATTTAAACTAATGTGAAAATGTATCCATTGGTTAAAAAAACGGGGGCCAGAGTCCCTTATGCTCATAGCGGCCATTAAGGCTTCAATGTCAAAAAGAAGTTTAAAAATCCATCAGTAGTGGGCCTGTGAGATAACTGAAGACACTCTTCTTCACTGCTATCATAACTTTTAAAATTGATCTTTGATCTTCTCCTCTTCGGATCTGATTCTTTGTCGCTTAGGGGAATTTCTTTAAGTTGTGTGAAAAGTGCTGTGAAAACAAAAGTGATGTTAAACTAAATTTGTTTCTTACTCATCCTTTGCTCTCTTCTGTCTCTGCAGACCTGCTGTCCACCAACAGGTCGTCCATCTTCAGCGGCCATCACGGCCAGCTCTCCCTTTCCGCCGTCTTCCTGGACGAGTACCGTGACCGCCTCTTCCTGGGAGGGAAAGACATCCTGTACTCTCTCATGCTGGGGCCTGCCAGCAGCGAGTCCAAAGAGGTGAGGTTTTTGGAGGCAATAAATAATATCAGTTAAAGTTATTCAAGTATTTTAATGTATTTTGTCTTGATGATTGATGCGTAGTAAAAGGTTAGTTACTGTACAGTCTACATTTATCATTCCATTTTTATTTAAGTCGCAGTGACTCTGCGAGTGGTTTCAATCTGCAGAAGATAATATATGACTCAAAGAGATAGGCGTACGATATTGTGTTTTCCAGAATTCCCTCTCTGCAGAACATCTGTTAAAGCACTCTTTAACTCATAAATCAACCATAAACGTGGTGACTCAAACCTGAACAGCCATTTTATTCTATATTACTGCTATTGCATCATCACTGAAACAGGAACAGAAAACAGTGCTGAAAATATTAAAGAAAGCTCAGTTTTCAGAAGATAAAAAAAAGATTGACTATAATGGGTCACACACCCGTTATTTGTGATTTCTGACCAATCACTAATGGATTATATACATATACAGTCTTCATGCCAATTTGTGGATAAAGGGATTTATTACAGTAAGACTTTCTGGGTTTTCTCCTCTTTCTCTTGTTTTATAAACAGGGCTGTTCTGACAGTCAAATTTTATGCTTCGTTTCCTTCGCCAGAACATTTCATCAATCTCACACCTGTAAAAGTGCAGCTAGTCGTAAATCAAACCGTGTTTTTCCATCGACGTCACCTTTAATCTGCAGCCTGCATTTAATTTGTCAGTAAGGCTTGTCAAACACAACGGTTACATTGCGAGAGTTACAGTTTCTTGGCTCACCATAAAGACATGAGAAATAAATTACAATCTAGAAGTCCGATCTGTTAACTGAGCTGCAGATTTCCACTGTCATCAAACGCTGAGAGTTTGAATAACAGAGAGAGAGAAGAATGCTATCATGCTATTGTTATCATGTCAGGAAGTAGTGCATTACATGTAAATATATTAGTAGTTAAATTACATTTTGCAGTAGATTGTTGATAGTTCAGCTACATTCATATTTGTATAGTGATTCACGCAGTTAAATTACTTCTTTGTGGGGGTTTTTGTTGTTGTTGTTGTTGTTGTTTTGCCATAGATAGCTACTAAAACTACAAACAATGTTGGGCCATAAAGGGAATAGAATGATTGTTTTTTTTTGAAGTTTTTATTTTGCAATTCTCTACTGTATCTGAACCCCATTTAACCACAATTAGTCATACAGTCATACTGTTCATAGACCTATATATGATAGATATCCAAACATCTGTACATCCCTAATCTAACCACCAATGCTTCATGAATGGAAGGATCAAAACATTGACAGATACATAGTATGTGTGGATATTTTTCTCCTTTCATCTGTGATAGATTGATGGTAAGATGCATGTAGACACCTATCTCTCCATCTACATCAGGGGAAGGATAAGTATCCATACAGGTATCTATCTATCTGTTAGTCAATGGTTGGATATTCAATGGTTGGACCGGTAGACGTACACAGACTGGGTAACCTAGATCCACATGTCAGAATATGAGTATTGAATGTATGAATATTGACAATTATATTGACAACTGAAATTGTGTGACAATAAGATACCTTACAAATTAAATTCAAAGTATATCTAATTTAATTAAGGATATAGGTTCAAACTGAACATTACTTTGAAGTGCAAAAATAGAGAAAATGTGCTATAGGTGGCTTAGCTGCAACAACCTGCTGGGTGGAAATTTTATCAAGCCTAGCTAACACTTACTGGGAGTTGGTTACATAGTTTTACATGCTTTAGGCAACAGTTATTAAGATGATATATGGTTGGATTTAGTGACTTACATAGACAGCTCAGTAATCAAAAAATAAGCATGGCAAAGAAATTAACTTATCGGCAGAAAACACTCTTTGTCACAGAACTCTGCTGAAACACACCCAATCTCTGTGGACTTTCACAGGTCACTGTTTGGCGATATTTTGGTCAACTGGCTGGAAGCACAAAAGGATCAACCCTGTGTAACCACTTAAAAAGTCAATGTTACAATTCACACCAGGTTAGGAGGTTCCTCTCTACAAAACTAAAGCTGACATTTCTTTCACTTTTCCATGAATAGTGGGTGTTTTTTTTTTTGTTATTGTTGTTTTTTTTGGTTTATGACCTGTGAAAAAGGGCAGTTTTTGCACTAAACTAATTTGAGTTTCATTTTTTTGTATCGCACGTACATTGTCAGTGTGATCATTTGATAAAGTACGGCAGTCTGAACTTTTTATTAGTAGCCTTTGTTAACTAAACTCCCTGACGTAGCTTTGCTGTAGTTCAACTTCTTCCAGTATGTAATAATTGGTAGCTTGCAAAGTAACTTCCCCACGCTGATTATTACTGTTTTCATTTTATCTACAAATATTGTGTCTTGGATTTTGAAACTTAACTTTTTATGTTTTATCAATTATTCATTTCAAGAATCACAGGGCTTTGTTACTGTGATGTAGTGCTTTGGCAGCGCAGACCAGATACAGTATGTTAACAATTATGGAAAAATGTGCATCTCCTATTAGAGTGGAATTCATATTTCATGTAATTTATTCAGTGGAACAAAAGACACAGATAGAAGTTTAACTGTGATTTGTGGAGGTGGGGGGTTATTATTACCTGTGAGTTATATCTTATGAGTTTTCAGAGGGTTTTTATTGGAAAGCTTCGACACAAAGGAAATGAGCACATTTAAATTAAAACATGATTTCATTTCATCTGTAGAAGAATAGCACTGAGAAAATACGCAGCATATATTAATTCATATTTCACTCTCCAGTTGGGTGCCCAGTATCTCCACTCTGTGTTCCATTAAACTGGTTTCTAGTGAGCACAAAACAAAAATAACTCTCTTTAAAACAAAAACCCCTCATTGAGTTTCAGCACTTCAGCTAAGAGCAGCAGTGTGTCTGTGTGTGCTTATGAGTGTGTGTATCTGTGCTCATACTTCGGTCAAAGACAGTGGGATGACAAAAAGTGAATGGGTGAATGGGGAATTTGTGTAAACAGAGAGCCAGATGTCGCCCACCTTATCCACCCTTTTAAATCCTCTGGTAGCCTCCTCTCACTGCTCTCTGTCTTGGCTGATGATCACACATGAGGCTTGCTAGTTTGCTGCAAGCTGTTTGAGCCTTAATGCCTGCGCTTCTATCAGAGCCAGCCATTGTGAAATCTCTCCGTGATGCCAGTTCAGTGAAACAAAGGTTTACAAGATGACACACATCTGCCAAAGACTAAACCATAAACCAATGCTGAGAGAGGGAGAAAAGAAAAAAGAAACAATAAACAAAACACAGAATGAATAAACTGTGTTTGCCCTCACAAAAAAATTATCACTCCAAGAACACATGTTGATGTTAAAGGAGCAGTGTGTAGGATTTAATGGCATAATGGTGAGGATCGCAGATTGCAATTAGCTGAAACTTCTCTTGGTTAGAATCCCTTCAGTGTTCATTATTCAAGAGCTTTTTACTGGGAGCCACATTATCTGCTGAGGTCTCTACCTCCCCAAAACAAGTGGACCAGGTGATTAACCAGATAATTAAACTGGTAAAATAATTATAATAACAATAATAAAGCAGTTTTTCACATTACAAATCAGGGTGTCTCTGATTCTGTTCATTTCATTGCAGATGGGCTGCTAGCCCAGCACCTGCTATTGAGTGCTCAGCTTTTTTCTTTGATAAATTGAGACCAAGACGTTTAGGAGGTTCTTATCATGAGCAAAGATATCCACAGGTTTCTTCCTCTTCAAAATGAATGGGTCCTATGATTTAAACAGGCACACACACTAAATAAAGCAGTTTCTAACTACAACCAGTGTTTGGGTTGTCCATTCTGGGCTATCGCAGAAACATGGTGATGCAATATGGACGTGGACGCGCCCCCTTTGTCGACTTCAACAACTCATTCTAACATAACAAAAACACAATGATTCCTATTTTCAGGTGATTATACAATAAAAAAAACATACTTATTATATTCTATTTCTGCCAATACACCCCCCCAAATCCCACAATCTGGAGATTTAAATCAGTTTTGCTATGACAACAAGCATTGACGTTGAAAACTCAAGGGCCCCACAGTCGAATTAGAGCCAGGAGTCTATTAGCGTAGCTTAGCATGATGACTGGAAGCAGGAAGAAACAGCAAGCCTGACTCTCTCCCAAGTTGAAAAATATACCTACCAACACTATGAAACTCCCCATAAACCCCACAAGCTGTCATTTTTGCATCTCTGTTTATGTACAGATTAAAAAAAAAATGAGATACCCTTTTTTCTGCTCCAGTTCCATCTCTAATACATCATCAGATCAGTGTATCGAGCTCATTTAATTTTTGGAAAGAAAGTGAATAAGTATGTATGTCACTTTAGAAAAAAACTTTTCCTTAAATGTTTGTAGTAAATGTGTGTGTTTTGGTTTAATTGTCACCCTGTCAGTCCCCTTGTTCTTTTGGCATCTGCTGCAGAAACACACATGCTAAGAAGTCTGTCTAACACCGCTATGTTTCCACTTATATCAGAGATAAGAAGTTAATCACTGCCAACCTTTTTTCACACTTCTCTGGCTTTCTATTGTACATCTGATAAAAATTTAGAATGGAAAAACATTTAAAGTTTTCACAACCAGAGTGAAGTTGCACAACACTTAAATCTATTATACTCTCTTGCACTTTTCCAGCTCAAACTCTGCCCACCAGAGTGTACAATATCTATTTGGCACAAAAACCTAGTTTGCCACCCTCTTCACTGTAACTCTGACCAGCAGTGTAGTAAAATTGGAAATGGGAGTAAGGTTTAATTCTAAACACAAGGCTTTGGTTGAGAGCAAGTCAGATGGCCTGAAATCAGTGCAGCCAGTGTGTTTCTGCTGGATCCAATCCTCACTGAATCAAATCTGGGAAGTGGGACAATTTGCTTAATGATAATTACCCAGGAAAAGCTAAAACAAATAGTGATTTAATTCATGTAAATGTTTTATATGATGGAGTAAATATTCTTTCTCCTTC